GGTAACGACCTGCTCCTGCCCCCTCCCCCTCCCCTCTCCTCCCCATCCTCCGCTCCTACGTCCCTCTTCTCCTTCTCCCTCTCCTCCTCCTTCCCTTTCCGTCACTGTATGATCCACCCCTCCGTTCTCCACCCCTTCTCCATCTTCATCTCCATCTCCCTCCTCTCCTTCCAACCTTCATGATCTGCTCGTTTCTCTTCTCGCCTCCTCTTATTCTTCACCTCAGGAAACAGCTGCTCGGGTGACAGTGATACCGATTACGTGCTTGAGAAAGTCGATTGTTACTTCTAACTTACTAGTACATCCACCTCCAGTATCTTTGTTGTGTCGTTGTTCAGTGTGTTTGAACACCTTGTTTGCAAAGAATATCAGCGTCATCATTATCGTTTTCACCCCTCCTCCTCCTCCTCCTCCTCCTCCTCCTCCTCCTCCTTTAACACTGTACAACATGCCGAACCGGCTGACTCCCAGGCCTCTCCCCATACCCGTACCCATACTTTCTCGCCATCTCCCAGATCCGCATGGTCAGATCCTCGTCCACAGCAAACAGCTCGCTCCAGCTGAACTTCTTCCTGTGCGCCCGAGCGTTCACTCTGGTCCTCTTCGCCTCCGCCAGCCTCCTTACGAACTGCGGCTGGTCCGGCACCTTCCTCCCAAGGCTCCCGAAGATGCTGGCTACCACCTCGTATCCTCCCTCCTCCCTGAACACGTCCTCTAGCCTGATCCTAGGGATACCAAGAGCGTCCAAGAACTCGTGCCACTGCAAGTACATGGACATCCCTGCCTTGATCTTGTCCCCCTTCCTCCTCGTCTCTTCCTCTAGCCTCACATGCCTCGTGATGTAGCTCCAGTAGTCCGGTCGGAAGAGAGGCTCCGTGCAGATCAGCGACGTAAGCGAGGACAGAGGATCCCGGACGAGGTGAAACGCAACCCTGAACCTTCCTCCCCTCAGCTTCCCTGGCCCGAAGTATCCTCCTCCTCCTCCTCCTCCTCCTCCTCCTCCTCCTCCTCCTCCTCCTCCCTCTAACCCGAGCCTGTCGTGCTCACTGAAGATATGAATCCAGCTGACTATGCCGTCCTTGCTAGGATCTCCCCAATCGTCATGTACGTCAATCCCCAGCGTTTGTAGCAGCCGCTTGGTCGCTGTAGTGCCGCTCCTGGGCGTGCTGCTAACGATCAATGGCCACACATGAGTTGCCGTCGTCTTGCAGCATGGCACATGCAGGGTAGAGCGAAGGATCACTTGGCAGCGGGAAGGAGAGCAAGGGTCCGGAGAGGACGTGGAGTCAGGGGTTGGTAGAAGGGGGGTCGGGGGCGAGGGGGAGGGAGGAGGGGCGGCTGAGGGGGGACGAGGAGAAGGAAGAGGAGAGGGGCGATAGAAAGCATGCCGTTTCTGCCGTACAAGTTTGTGCCAGGGTACCTCTCCTCCTTTTCGATCTTGGATGGGGGCTCGTTTCTGAGCAGCGATGGCAGAAGCAGTCTTATTCCCTCGCGTCGGATGAATCCTCGCTGTGAAAGAGGAATTTGGAGAGGAAGGAGACGAACCATTTCCGTATGCTCCAGGAGGAAAAAGCAGAACAGGCGAGCTGATCGATCTGTTTCCGCACCCGTAAGCATGAGATGACAAATTCTTCGCGGAACCATTGAAAGCCAAGTTGCCTGCTGATGAATTCATCTCCTGATAGCCTGAAGCATTGTTCTGAGTCCTTGCCATCTTCCCCTCTTGCATCTTTGCTTGACCCTTCACCGTAATGTTCTCCTGCCCTTGCGTCCCGTTCTTCACCTGCCCTCCCTGCCACACCCACCAACCTATCATCAAATCATGCCAGGATCTCCACGGAGCGACATCTCGCACATACCTTGTTCCTCTCTCTTCGTCTCGGTCTGCACATCTCCAACTTCTCCTCTCATCCCCATCCTCGTCGTTACCACCATGCCCACTGTCACCCCCGCCATCACCACCGCACACAATCGGCAACAACGAACCATTTGTATCACTACCCCACCCTACCTGCCTCGGAACACTCTTCTGTTGTACCCGTGTATGTTCTTTGACACCCCTCATATCTTCTCTAAAAGTACCCTTTCGGTGGAACAACAAGTACCCCATTACCCGTCAGCTCTTGTACCCACCCCACCAAGTCAGCATTTTACGTGGAGGCTGCAAGTTCGGAAGTTCCATCGGGGGGCAGGGAGGCCCTACTACCTAATACTTAACTTTGAGTAAAACCTACTACTAGGGGTCACGCCGGATCATGTGAAAGTTTGAGTGACCGACGGTGCCGTCCAGAGCTGGCGCCCGGCCGGGCCGCCCGGCTCAGGCTGGCCCGGCGGCGCACGCGGCCGGCCCGGCCCGGGCGGCGGGCGCAGCCTCGGAGTACGGTCATCCGACTCTCGAAATATTGAAATACCAGGGGTAGTACGGCACGGTACTACGCCGGGTACCGTCCGGGCTGCAGTCACTAACGGGCCCCCCGTTCAAGTTCCGAAGCCCCGACGGACGGCGAACGGCCACCGTCTTCAGAACTTCGGAAGTTTGGACCGTCAGCCTGGGCTCCGAGGCTCCGCCCCGGCGGCTCAGTAGTAGCGGATCCCGCGGCGGGCCGATGCCATGATGAGAGTCAAGGAAGGACGCCCCGGTTTACGGTCCGATGTGGTGAGGCTCAGGCTACACTGAGGCAGCGAGCCGCTAGTACACTGGCTGAGTCAGCACCGTGGCACTGATCACGGTAGTGACATCAGGCTGTTCAACTTCCGATTCCGACTCAGTTCAGGGCGTGGGTTACATGTGTATCCAAAGTAACAATCAGTGCAAACGCACACTGACAGTTTCAGTGATTGTATACTATCATTCTGTCCGACAGTCACTCAGTCATGTTTTCTCACATAGCGCTACTTTATAGTAGACGAACCGAGTCGGAAACTTGGCGAGTCTAACTCCTGTCAGTGTGGACTCGAGTTGTTCACAACAGCAGTGTGATTTCTAGCTGTTGGTTGAGAATTGATCACATATGCAAAATTCCCCAACTTGCATCAGTCTGCTCTATACTAGCAGCCTCAGCTGGGACTCCCGGCAGGCGGCCTGCTGACAGTAGGCAGCCAGACTGATGCCTAACTTCGCGGCTCCAGAACTCCGAGTCATGATATCATCGGAGTCAGGAGGATCATTGGATCTACTAGAACCTACTGTAGGCGCGGGCTAGGCGGCTCCTGCTAACTTTGGCATCTCAAACTTGGGGAGTTTGACGTCATCCTGGCAGCGCTCGATCCTCAGGATAGCGATGCGCATGTCCGGGAAGAGCGACTCGAAGAAGGGAGGGGAAGGAGGAGGGGAGGGGACTCCTGGCTCATGCACCTTGAAGGGAGAAGTGAGGACGTTGTGGGGGAGGGGGAAGAGAAACAGGGGAGCGGCCCGGCGGGGAGGGGAGGGAAGAGAGATGGGGAGGGGGAGCCTGGAGGGGGGTGAGGGGGTGAGGGAGAGGAGTTGGAGAGTAGGAGGAGCAGGAGCACCTCAGTGAATATCAGCTCGTTGGCTGTTAGCTCCGCGAAAAATTCTTGATCCGCCATGTCCAGCCGATGCTTCGTATGAGAGTACAAGGCGATAGTTCCCTTTCCTAGCAGACCCTTGAGAACCTGCAAGACAGAGCTCAAATCCTGCCCTGTCCTGTTCTGTCCTGCCCTGCCCAGTCCTGCCCTGCCCTGCCCTGTGCTGTGCTGTGCTGTGCTGTGCTGTGCTGTGCTGTGCTGTGCTGTGCTGTGCTGTGCTGTGCTGTGCTGTGCTGTGCTGTGCTGTGCTGTCCTGCCCTGTCCTGTCTTGCGCTGTCCTTGGGTCGGCTCTGCTGACCTCATGTTCCATCAATCAGCTTGTTTCTTTCCACCTTTCCTCATTCCTCACTCAAGTAAACTCTCATCCTCGTCCTCGACCTCGACCTCGTCTTCGACTCCTCGTCTTCCCTTTCCCTCTATCTCCTCTTCCTCCTCGTCCTCGTCCTCGTCCTCCTTACCTTTGGCAACCATTGTACGCCGATCTCGTTGTAGACGAGGTCGCTGCCTATGATCAGATCCCATCGCGTCTCGAGCAGTGGTGCCATCTCCGATCGCTTCCCTTCCCTTCAAGTCATAACAGGAGGAGAAGGATGATGAAGAAGGTGAGGAGGAGGAGGAGGAGGAGGTGGTGGTGGTGGTGGAGGTGGAGGTGGAGATGGTGGAGCAGGAAGAGGAGCAGGGAGGAGGAGGAGGTGGTATTGGTGGTGGTCTGTGGCAACTGGCTGTAGCATCAAGTGAAACAAAAGAAGCAGTAGGAGTAGGAGTAGGGACAGAATATGTGCAGTGTCGGGATCAGGATCAGGATCAGGGGCAGATGAGCAGGAACAAGAGAGCAGGAGCATCTACCCCCCCAGCACCAACGAGCAAGAGTGGAAGCGGGAGGAGTTGAGCAGAAGAGGGATCAGGCAAAAGAGCGGGATCAGGATGAGGGGGAACATCGGCAGGAGCAGCAGGCGCAGTAGGTACAACCTTTCTCGTCCTCCCCTTCCCCGCTCACTACCCAATGCGACCAATCGCATGCGCAGGTCTCGACATTTCCCAGCTTTCCGTCCTTCTGGTTCAGCTGGACGTTGTGTTGGAGATGCTCGAGAGCTCCTCCGTGCTCCATCTCGGTCAGACACACCCGCGCTCCCGGGTGAGATCGTGCTATTGTCATTCCCAGCCAGCCGCATCCTGCGCCGAGCTCCAGGATCTGCATGCCAGGGCGAGAGAGGCCGAGCTCTTCCTGCATGGCCTCGAGGAAGTCTGCCATGCGGTGAGCAGCATCCCATACCCTCCCTCCTGTCGTCGTCAGGGGCCTCCCCCGCCATGCGTCGCTTTCGATCTGAATGTCGCGCTCCCACGCCATTGCGGGATCGGATGGAGGAGGTAGGGTGATTGGTGTACCGGTACTGTGAGGATCATTTAAGTGGGTCTTCGAGGTTAAGATTTTCAATTTGGGGTGGGGTAGTTTCGGAGGAAAGTAGGACAAGGAGGGAAGGGAGGAACAGGAGCAGGAGGAAGACTGAGGAAGGGGGACAAACTCTGGGAGAGGAGGAGTTGTGCGAAGACCGGGAGGAGGAAACTTTCAAGGCGCCACGAGAGCCCATTGTCTGTCAGCCTTCCTTGGATCCGTTCGCCTGTATCATCTAGGCACTTCAAAGGTGTCCTTCTGCTCCTGCTCCTGCTCCTGCTCCTGCTCCTGCTCCTGCTCCTGCCCCTGCTCCTGCCCCTGCTCCTGCCCCTGCTCCTGCCCCTGCTCCTGCCCCTGCTCCTGCCCCTGCTCCATCCACAGTCCCCCACACCGTTCCCCACCTCGCAGAATTCTCCATCCCCTTGCCCCCGATCTCAAGGATGGACATCGTCGACATCGCCATCTTCACCGTGGGCCTCGCCATGCTCCCGCTCATTCCTGACCTCCTCGCCAACCTCTTGGTCTTGTTCCTTCCAGACTCCCTCGTCACCTCCAATGTCCGCAGGCTGTCAAGGCAGGTCCGTTCCTTCACCAACACGGTTGTTTCCCGCATCCTCGTATCGCTGAGCATCGCCATCCCAGCGTTCGCTCTCTACTTCCAGGGCGACATGCTCCGCTTCCTCGACGTCGAGGCGTACAGCACGCGGTGGTGGGTAGAGATCAGCATGTGCTCGCTGCTGTTCGTCGCCGTCGAGTGCATGTACGGGCTGACGCTCCTGGTTAGCCCTGGCTATGTTGTCAAGGGGAACAGCGATGAGCCGCACGGGAGACTCTGCAAGACTTGCAAGCTCGTTCGACCGGAGCGATCACACCATTGCTCGGTGTGCGGACACTGCGTCCTGAGGATGGACCACCACTGCCCCTTCACCAACTGCTGTGTCGGGCTGCGCAACCATGGCTACTTCTTTCTCTGGTTAGCTGGAGTTTGGCTGGGGAGCGGGTACGGCAGCGCGATCAGCTTTTCCTCCTTCAGTGTTTGCGTGTGGACGGGGTACCTGTACGGGGTGGAAAAGCTCACTCCGTTGGAGCTGGACAAGTGTATAGAAATGGGGAAGCGATCGTTCATATTCCTCCCTGCCCTCTGCATTTTCCTCTTCATGTGCATCCTGGGCGGATGGCACCTGCTGCTGATCGCCACGAACCAGACGACCATCGAGTTCTACAGGAACAGAGTGGCACCGTTGCTCGGAGTGAAGAAGAGCGAGGAGGAGATTAAGGATTACAGCAAGGGGAGCATCGTCGCAAACTTCAGGGACGTGTTCTTCCATCGTAGCTAGCACTGCTGCTCGCACCCCGACATGCTCATTGATTTCTCTTTCTTCATTCTTATGGAATGAGCAAGGTGTCAGTAAAAGCTTCCACCGCGAAGTCAGTCTCAGAAAACGGGCCCCTCAAGGTTTTCGCCCATTCTCGTCATTGCCGGTGCAATCTTCCACATCGTCTCGCTCATTTCGGAACAGCTTGATCAAGAGCAGGATTTCTTGATACAAGCTCCTTGACCAACCAATGGATGTCAGGCAAGACTCCCGTCTTGATCTTGGAATGGACAAGCTCGCCGCCCAAGTACACCTCGAACGCGTTTGTCTGCCAAGAAGGAATGAGAATGAGAGACACACCATCGCTAGTGCCATCACGGAATGGTGTGGAGCAGGTCATGTAACAGCATGGGATTGTGACAATGAAGAAGGTTGTTTTGCAGTGGAGAAGGCGAGAGGAGAAGGAAGAGAGTGCGAAGGAGGGAGAGGGGGATGGATGTACAGAGAGAACGAGGGAAGGGAGGTTGGGGGGGGGGGGGAGTCGGGGAGGTGGAGGGATGAAGGAAGGGGAAAAAAGGAAAGCGAGGATGGGGGAAGAGAAGCACGGAACATCCGGGAGGGCGAGGAGGGCGAGGAGGTGAATGGATGGAGGAGTGGAGGGAGCGAGGGAGGAAGAGTAGGGAGAGTACCGCGATGAGGCCACTGATCACCATGTTGCCAAGGAAGAATCCCATGATTGCAGTTCCTTTGTTTTCTTGCATGTAATTCGCCCATTGCGGTACAGGCATACTCAATGCAGCAAACATCTGCGTGCCAAAGAAGGCAACGGCAAATCCCGCCATCTGAGCATAGCTGACCATCGAGGCAAGCGCCCGAAGATGAGCGGGAGCATCGTTCTCCTCCGAAGTTATCTTTAGGCCAGGGAGCCTGTGCTGTAGGTAGTTGGAGTACTCCACTACAGCCTTCTTGTAGCCTCACCCTGCCTGGCAATACAGGATGTGGAGGCGATTGGCTTCGTGGTCCTTGAACCGGAAGGAGGGGTCGAGCTCCTGCTCGCTGACTGCCTTCTCCTTCTCCTCGGCCTGACTACTCGTGTACCTCCTGTACCCATCGATGAGGAAGACGGTAGCGAGCACCGCCAGTACTCGCCACTCTCCCGCCATCGTCTGCCCCCGAACAACAGGCTGACGCCCACCCCCCCCACCTCCAGCATCTTGAATGAAAGTACCCCCGAAATTAGTACCCCCACCCATAAATTGGAAGCATTGTTTTTCTGGTACCTCCATATATAGCCGCAAGTACCCACCAATAATCAATACATTATGCACCCACATTAAGATTCTGTGTAATTTCAAGTACCCCTACCCTACATTTCAAAGTTCCACTGGTGACAGTACCCCAGCCACCTCTTGCAAAAGGACTCGCCATGCTGCAAGCTATCCATCACCCCACACCCATTTTTAAGCCACTATTATTATTTAGTTAACTTTAATTTATCATACTAAAATTAGTGAAGCAAGCAGCTAGACCTCTGCGTGTGGGTGTAGTAGTAAATCATGACTGAGCTGACTTCACTCCGAAGCTCGGGCCCGGCGCCGGATGACCAGCCGGGCCGGGCCCGGGAAGCCGATATGACCAAGTTACTGAGGCTATGCATGGCGCCGATCGAAAAAAAAATGCGAACGTCACTACCTCACTACCCCACCATGACTACCCACCCAATCCATAATGATGTACCCCCTTGTTGATGCTCAAAACACGTGGTGGTCCCTTGAAACGTAAAGTAAATCGCCGTGGAAGGGGGGTAGGTGGTCATGTGGTATGGTGGTGGTGACAGATTCAGGGCTGGGAACCAAGGTGGTGTTTCCAGTTTTCTTCATGGGGTGGGTTATGTATATAAGTACCGGGTCATATGACTGTAAATCATAGGGTGAGTACGTAAGCAATTGAACATTTGATGGGGTGAATGGATCAGGGTGGTTAGAAGTAGGGTTTACTGGGGGTAGGGGGTGTTAAATCAGGGGTACTATGGATGAGGGGGGTAGGGTAGTGAAAGGTCTGGTTGATTCCCTACTCGAGGGCCGTCGAGGGGTATGAGGAGACGCCAAGGGGGTAGGGGTACATTTAACAACGAAGAGTGCGTAGGGGGTTCCAAGTGACGGGTGAAGAAATTTAGATAACCCACCATGTGGGAAATTTGAAATAGAATAACCGGTACTTTTGTGCTTATAAATGAGGGTAATAGTTTTCTGGGTACCGGTGATAAATTATGAATGAGGGGTTATATTCAACAAGAGGTCATGCAGTGGGTAGGGTACAGGAAGTGATGAGGTGGGGTGTAGGGTTCCAGGCTCAAGAGGATTGTATCACAATGCTGGAGGGTGGGGTGAAATTAGGGTGGGTAATCATGTTCATGGGTGGGGTTTTGCAAAAACTACTCCATTTATTGGGGGGTAGTCTTTTGAAAAAAGTTTCAATGATGTACAAAGTAGGGGTATCCTGATATAAATTAGAGGGTATCATTTTGATTATATACAACAATCGGGGTGGGGTAATTTCGGATGAGGTAGGGGTAATAAGAAGCACGGGTGTTTCTTGTTGAGTGGGTAAAAGTGTGGGTGGGTAGTGGTTAATGGCGGGGGCGAGATGGCGGAGGAAGAACTTCCTTGAGATGGGGAAGGAAAAGACGCAGTAGCAGCAGCAAGATGAACATGAAGAAGTCAGAAATGGTGAAAGAGTGGAGCAGGAGCAGGAGCAGGAGCAGGAGCAGGAGGATGGTGGTGGAGGGCAATGTTACGTGGGCCAGACTGATAGCAACGAGGAAGTAAAAAACGCTTCTGGCTCTATGAATCGACAATCAAGTCTGAAACATGGAATTTCATGAAGATCAATGCAGAAATCAAATGCATGTACGAATATGAGGAGGAGGAGAGCAGCAGCAGGAGGAGGAGGAGGAGGAGGAGGATTTCGATGTAGGAATTTTGAGCTTGATAATGGGGAGTGGTGTGTCTTAAAGATTTCGTCTACTGGAAGCAGAACATGATCAGCGTCTACAGGAAAGAGACGCATGCAGACTTTTCGACAGGAGGGCGCAGTTTGAAAACAGGATGAATCGAAGAGTATGGTGAACAATAGAGCAGAAGGATGTGAACAAGAGATACCAAGTTGTAAGAAGATGATGAAGAAGTGATGGAAAGGGAAGAAGCGGGAGATGAGATGAGACAAACAAGCGTAGGAAGAAGGGTGATGGATCAGCAGCAGCAGCAGCAGCAGCAGCAGCAGCAGCTAGGAAGAAGGGAGATGGATCAGGAGGAGGAGGAGGAGGAGGAGGAGGAGGAGGAGGAGGAGGAGGAGGAGGAGGAGGAGGCGAGGAGGAGTGGCAAAACGGAGACTTGAAAAGTTAACATGATTCCTGTGCTTCAGGATCTTTTAGTTTTTTCATCATGGTACAAGAATATTCGAGCGCGGATCTAGAACTCCACAAGACCAAGGAGGATTGCTGGATGGCGATTCATGGCAAGGTGATGAGAGAAAGAGATGAAGTTTACCAGTGTTATGAAGTTTAATTGCTGAATATTAATGAGTCGATGTGAAAGGCGAAGAGGATGATGATGATGATGGGGATATATGGGATTATTGAGATTCAATGAAAGATACTGATAGTAGCGATGGAGATAAAGTTGAATGTGATGTTGATGATGCTAGGTCTCCATTGTAAAGAGTAGTCTGAATGATGTTCATGCTAATGCTGATGGTATGGAGCTCAACCTCATTGTTTCCAACATCTGCGTCATTGAAGATGTCCCTTATTTGATCTTCAGGTTTATGACGTCACCAAGTTCTTGATCGAGCATCCGGGTGGTGAGGAAGTCATGTTGGAAGTTGCAGGTGAGGAAGCACGAAGACTTGGAGGAGGGAGGGGAGGAGAAAGGAGGGAGGAGAGGAGATAGGGGAGGCAGGGAGGGAGGAGAGGAGATAAGGGAGAGAGGAGAGGATATAGGGTAGGCAGGGGAGGAGATAAGGGAGGCAAGGAGGGAGGGGAGGAGGAGACATGTACGGCTCTGCTCACACTGTTACTGCAGGCATGGACGCGACAGATGCGTTCGAGGACATCGGACACTCTAAGGCAGCTCGGGAGCAACTGAAGAAGTACGAGATCGGGGACTACAAGAGCGACGGGGATGCGCCCAAGAAAAAATCCAAGCTAGGAGCCTCCGCTGACTCCGACGGAGGGTCAGGAGGCATCACAAAGATCCTCGTCCCTGTCCTTGTCATGGCTGTGATCGCCTTCCTGGTTCAGAAGTTCATGTAGAGGAGCCGCTGAGAGTCGAGGGGTCGCCCGCGTCTCGGGCAAGGCCCGGGAGGGCCTAGAGGGAGAGGAGACGTTGAGAGAGGAGGGGTTTTCCCTCTCGCCCATGTTATTTTGCGCTTGCTGCACACTTGCATTCCGTCAATGAAAAGTGACTTCAGCAATAAAACGACACATCCTATCTTACCCGCTCCTCTCTTCCCCTAGCCTCTACTCCTCTCCCTACTCCTCCCAGCATCACAGCGTCCTCCCACCTCCTGGAAGAAAACCTAGAAAAACAAGTCCGAGCCATCTCATGCTATGATGGAACCCAAGTAGACATCAGGCAGCATGTTCGAAGCTGGCACTCCCTCGCTCGAGAAGGGAACAGCCCGGAGCCGCGTCATGTGGCCGCGCTTGAAACAGAAGAAAGCCCCCTTGTTCCTCAGCTTGCACTCCTTGCATGACGTCGGCAGCTCCCCGTCCTCGGAGATGTACAGATGTCCCTGTGCGAAGCAAGCTGCCACTCCCTTGCTCATCCTAGCGCACAGCGGGCAAGGCAGCCCCTGCTCTATGCACGTCTTGGCGTCGGATCCACACGCGTTGACGGCCTCTGGCTTGAGGCTCTCGTGGAACTCGGCCATCTCCTCGATCTTCTTGTTCAGGTTCATCCAGTTGATCCCTTGGAACAGCCTCGAGACGACTGAGACCAGGCCGTCTTCGTTCAAGACCGACTCGCAATCGCTGACCCACTGCGGCGACTCCTTTTCCTTCCAGTCAGGCTGGAAGTGGCAGGGGTTGAGTTGTTTCTCGATCTGAAGAAGGTCACGCAGACAGGATTTCACTTGTTCGTTCTCAGACTTCAACGTCGGCACTTCCACAGTCTCTGGCGGGTCGGTGAATTGTACAGCCGTCATCGGGATCGAGGCTACGAACTCTGAAACGCACGCAAAGACATTCTCTCGGGTGCAGAAGCCGGCAATTGCTGGGTCTGCTTGGCAGTTCTCATTCAGACCTTTCAGACCCAAGACCTCTTGTGAGTGCAATGTTGCACGAATCGAAGCCTTGTTCATTCCAGGCATCATGTGCTGAAAAATCCTCGACGATCTGGTGGACCGTGTCAGAGTCAGTCGGAGGGGCAACAGGAGCACGACAGACATGCGCGACAAGCGACAGACACTGAGGGCAACAGCGAGGAGGGGGGAGCAAGGTGCAAAGACTCACGGGTTTTTGGTCTCTTGCTGCTGCATGTGCGCTCGTTCATGCTGCAAGTGAGCCGGGGCATGAGTGAACTCCTTGCCACAGAAACGGCAGATCAGCCCTCGACACTTCCCGATGTGCTCCAACGCTGCAGGTCTCACTCTCCCCTGTCCGTCTCGATAGAGTCTGTTTGCTGCTAACATGCCCGCGAGCCCTGTCATGGTATGCCGTTTGTTCTGCCGGATATACTCCAACGTTGGCTCGAGGCCTTGGCATTCTGAGCTCCCATCGCTGTCGTGCCCAGATATCACATGCCAATTTAATCTCAGGAATGACGTTAGAAACTCGTTAGCTTCACTTCGCTTTCGTTTCATGGGAAGCGAGTGCTGTGGAGTCTTGTTGCCCTCGTCTGTGTTCACCCCTTCCCGCGCAGCCTCAGCCCCGCCTTCCTTCCCCATCGCTTCCTTCTTTCCAGCAGCTTCCCAGATCCCCTTCACCTTGTCCCAGTTGATGCCACGTTCTTCCAGCTCCCTTACAAGCTCGACTGCCTCTGTTCCGCTCTTACACGCCCGGCATCGCTCTTCCCACGACAGGCGGTTCGCTAAGAAAAAAGCATTCAGAGCCTTGTCTTCAAGCTGAGAGGTGAGCCAGAGAAGCTGCAACCCAAAGTCTTGGAACGACTGAAAGCTCTTGTTTTTCTCTGAGAAGACGTCCCAGAACGCAGAATCCAACTCCCTCACCGCACCATAAGGTATTCTGTCAGCCAAGTCGTTCAAGATATCCCCGAAGATAGACACATTCTCCAGGTCCACGGAGTCGAAGTTGATCGGGCAGTAGTTCGATCGGAGTGGCGCGACATCTCGTATCAGGTTCGCGTCATACTTCCGGACCAGATCAATGGAGTCCACAAAGTTCAGCTTCGCACGATCACCCTGGCAGAGCAGCGCAGCCACGTCGTAGGCGCGCGCTGCTTCTTCCACTGACGTGAACGTGCCAAGGTTGAGTTCTATATGATTCTTCTTGATCACAGCACCGTACCCTGCCTGCTTCACCCGAACGCCCACGTACTTCTCCTGCTGTTGGATGGGAAGAGAAGAATCCAACAACTCGTCGAGTCTGCTCATGATGTTCTTCACTATCTCGATCATGTTCTGGTTGGCAGAGGACTGGGCCTCGTCGTTGAGTGTGTTGCTCATCCCTCTCTCTCTGCTGCTAGCATGGTCTGCACTCGATCGATTCGACAGAGGGTCTACCATCCTGGCAAAGTTTGGAACGTTTCGCGCTCTACCATATCGACTAGTACATGTCACCGTTCTCGCATTGCCTTCGTCGTCGTCCTGCTTCACCCGCTGATTTGACCCTGTAGGTTCTTGCTCAACCTCGCAAGATTCTTTGACAGAGAGCTTCTCCCACTCCATGCACTCCAACTCTGAAAATATATTCTGAATTGAAACAAAAGTGTCGTGTTGCCCCATTCGTTCCACCGCATTGTCGACGGGCGAACACTCCATTCCTCTTGATTTCAATCCCGTCAACACAGCAGTCAAGACTTCGAGAAGAACGCTCCTAATATCAGATGTCCCACGACATGACCGTATTCTTGACTGGGACTCTTCCGGCAATTGGCAGAGTTTCAACTCTCGCATCTTGTCGCAAAATGAGAGTATCCGTTCGACAAATACATCCATCTCCAGCGCTTTGTCCGGAGTTGCCAGTGCGGAAAGATGGGACTGGTTTTCAGCATCCATGTTGCTCGTTTGTAGACAAGTGTTGTCATCTTCAAGCTCGTACATCAGGTCCGAGCTCATGGGCTCCTCCAGGTATTTGTCGTCGGGACTGGAGTCGTAAGGGAAGAACTTCTCCTGTTCGTAGTTGTCCATGTCGTGTGTTTCACATATGAGCATCTTACGAGAGACTGGACGTACAGGTAGGCAAGCTCATCTCTTTCAATCTGCTCTCAAGCAAGGGGGCTC